CATTAATTTCACAAGTCAGTGAAAAGTTATTGGATTTCAAGCATTGATTTCACAAGTCAGTGAAAAATTATTGGATTTTAAGCATTAATTTCACAAGTCAGTGAAAAATTATTGGATTTCAAGCATTGATTTCACAAGTCAGTGAAAAATTATTGGATTTCAAGCATTAATTTCACAAGTCAGTGAAAAACTATTGGATTTCAAGCATTGATTTCACAAGTCAGTGAAAAATTATTGGATTTCAAGCATTGATTTCACAAGTCAGTGAAAAATTATTGGATTTCAAGCATTGATTTCACAAGTCAGTGAAAAATTATTGGATTTTAAGCATTGATTTCACAAGTCAGTGAAAAATTATTGGATTTCAAGCATTGATTTCACAAGTCAGTGAAAAATTATTGGATTTCAAGCATTGATTTCACAAGTCAGTGAAAAATTATTGAATTTTAAGCATTGATCCTCTTGGCTCTTACACAAGGAGTGTCAGTGACATTGGCAACAATTTTCCTCCACAAATGCTATAAAATAATCATATCGCAAAAATTGTTATCAGGAAAAATTAAGTAGTTTACAGTACGTCCAATATATGCTTATAACTACATACCTAATAGTAACCGCACCCCGCACCCCCCGATTTCGGCTTCAGTGTTAAAGACTTCTCAACAAAAATTGAAAACATGAAAAGTACCTATTAGTAACCGCACCCCCAATTCAACAAGACCGTGACTGACTTGTTTCAACCAGCTGGTACATTGTTCCTAATCCTATTCATTTGTTTCGACAACATGCCTAAAAATATTCACACCTCTTTATTGTTCAGTTGTGTTAGGATGTCAAACACGCAGTGAAACTGCTTTTGTTCTTGCGACAACTTTTGTCAGTACTCCTTATGAATACATCCGTGAGTCGCAAGTTTTCGACAATGAGCTGTTATCACCAAAAAACTGTTAAATGCTTTTTCAATGCTCAATGCTTTTTCAGTTTATCTTTCGAAAACAACTAATTTCTTGATTTAAAAAAAAAGTCATGTCGAAATCAAAGCCAAAAGATCACACTACATTTTAGGTAAATCTCTTCCGGGTTTTGTTCACCATATTTAAATGAACCAGGGTAATTTGAACACGTGGGCACCATCCAGCATTTTGATTGGTTAATTAGCGACTTGACTGATCTGGTCAAGTAACATCTCGTGTGCATTCAATCTACATGGCGGATGTCGTATTGCATCGATTGTTTACATGTGACCAAAATAATTCGCTTACGGTGAAACTAAGTTGAATTTGCTTGCATTTGATAACAATTCAACGAATTTATTTTTCGTGCGTTATTATAATCACTACTGAGTAATAATCAACAATCAAGTACAAGTAAGTTATTCACTTGTGAGTCGAAGCATGGCCGGATTGCGTTACCGTACCCGCGGTACCGTACGTTTTTAGTGCTTGTTTTTATTTAAAACTCCTGTCAGAATATACTTTCGTTACGAAGAAAATTAAAATAATAAATGCATATTACACTAAATATACTAAGTATTTTTTTTTCATGTGAACAGTTTTTCTGTGACGTGACGCTTATCACTCTTTCCTGACATCTAAATTGGAGTTACGCTTATAGATTGTACGATGTATTGTTTGTTTTGTGCAAGTGATGTGTGAAAAAATGACCACGCCCATTTCGTGATTGCAATATGTACGTAATAGAAACCGCACCCCGAACTTGAGCTGGTGATCCCAATTTTTTATTTGATACATTGTAATATAAACTACGGCTTATAATAGGATTTTAACGGTACGTCCAATATATGCTTTTAAAATTAAGCAGTTTACAGTGTCAATGTTCAGTGTATTTCTCTGTTTTGAAAAAAATATTTAACATTTTTCTAGAGAAAAGTTGACACTCTTAATAAGTTATCTTTCAAGCCATTAGTGTTGGAAAGGTTATTTGCTAATTGATTATTATTTTTTCAGACCAACATCAACAGCAGCAAAAACATGAGAAAAAGAAGGATACCTGGTTTTCTATTTTTCCTGTTGAAAATGAAGAACTTGTTTATGGAAGATGGGAAGATAAAATCATTTGGGATGCTCAGGTGATTATACATTTTTGCCTTGCCTTTAATTGCTTGTCTGGCTGGCGTTGTCATCTCATCGTCGTTAGCAATTATGTGTGTGTCGGAACTCAAGTAATTATCAGTCAGTATAGTCAGTGTAGTCTTGGTGCAACATGATGTTGGTGAGTTTGGTACATATATTTTGGGAAATTTTGGTGGAACGTGTTTGAAAATCTGCATTGGCTTAACATTGTGGTTATCTCTTTTTGGTAAACAAAATGACTTGGTATGCTCACTTAGAATTGGATCAGAAGTAGTTGAAAATAATCTTTAAAAAAGGGCTGTTGAAATTTGAAAGTTTTATACCTGCCTAAGAAATTTCAAACATCGCTATCTGCCAACATTTTGTTTTTTCTTGTAGAATATGGAAAGAATTCCATCACCGCCAATGTTGCAATTAGATCCAAATGATGAGAATCTGGTTCTTGGGATCCCGGATGATAAAGATCCCAATCAGGAATCTAGTACACAAGTCAAGGAGAAGAAGGAGCCAAGAAGATCAAAAATATTGCTTGAAAAATCTGGCGTTACAAAACCTGAACCACAGGTATGTAGAATATGGAAAGAATTCCATCACCGCCAACATGGCAATTGGATCCAAATGATGAGAATCTGGTTCTTGGAATCCTGGATTAGGGAAATTTTTTGTTCTCGAACTTTGAAATATTATCAAGCAATATATAATCTCGGTGCAGTTTTGGTATAGTTGGCTCGTATCCTTTTTTTTTTGACAATTGTTGATTATTTCCTAGTAGTGATTATAATAACGTGCAAAAAATAAATTCGTTGAATTGTTATGAAATGCAAATAAATTTCAACTTATTTCATCGTGAGCGAATGATTCCGGTCGCATTTTAAACGCTTGATGCTGTAGAAATGAATATCCGCCATGTTTTGACCTGGGACGGTGTTCTTTGACCTGACAGGTCAAATAGCTAATTAACCAATCAAAATACCAACGTGTTCAAATTACCATAGCTCATTTAAATATATTAATGTTATTGAACGCAGCACGAGAGAGATTTGCCGATGTTGTTGATAGAAAAGCGACATGATTTCTTTTTTAATTGAAAAATTAGTTGTTTTCAAAAGATAAACTGAGCATTTGAAAAATAATTAACATTGTTTACAGTAAAAACAGCTCACTGTCGAAACGAAGCTTTATCCATTCACGCTAGTGGAAATAAACATCATACTCTTGAATAGTTGTCAATGGCTATGGTAAAACTTTTAGGCATCAGAAAAGATTAAAATAACACCTTAATCGCTCTGAGCGCATTTTATTTTTTTTAAAAGCTAAACTGCCGTTTAATGGCCCAGGGTGAATTTAAGACAGAATCCGGTATTAGATTAAAAAAATTGTGATGAATTCTAATATTGATAAGTTTCCCAATAAGATACAGTGTAGTATATTCGATGAGAAGTTTTCTCTCATAATGCATTGCAGATGCCCAGTACCAGTCTCACTGAAGACATGATTGGTCATGATTTCCATATTTGGCTACTGATTCTCTATATTTGGCCCTGATTTCCATATTTGGCCCTGATTTCCATATTTGACTGCTGTTTCCATATTTGGCCCTGATTTCCATTTTTGGCTGCTGTTTCCATATTTGCCCCTGAAATCCATATTTGGCCCTGATTTCCATATTTGGCTGCTGTTTTCAGACTTTTCCTTCCTCTATTACCGGTAGATTTGCATATATATCATCTGCCTGCAATAATTAAAAATGTTGAACTATGTTTCATTTCCTCTGTAGACTTACAATGAAATAGAACAAAATGATTCATTTAATCTGTCTAATGATGAGTACTATAATCCAAAAGATACCAGAGAAAGTTCATTACGAAGTGCCATGGCTGGATTGTTACAGGTAATAGGTTGTTCTTGTTACGGTAACTATTTAACTCAACTCAACTCAGTATGATGAGGGTATTTGTGCTTTGTGATCCATATTTGGTCCAGGTCAAATTTGAACAAGTGTGATCAAGTTTTGCAACTTTATTTTCAAAATGCTACACAATATCTTCTCTTTGGTATATGCACAGTATCATTGCATAATTTTAATAATAATTTTGTTTTTTTATTCAGCATTCTACGCCAGCATTGGAGCTACGACAGCCATTCTTTCCAACACATTATGGACCAATCAAATTGAGGTCCTTCCATCGACCATCAATAAAACGGTATTCTCATGGACCAATGGCGAGTCCAGGCTTTCATCCTGTGTATCCGTTACTCAGACAAATAAAAAAAAAAGCAAAGGTATGTTGTCATGGAAACAGTTGGCTCATGATATTTATTGTTACATAATGCTGGTTATAATATAATAATGACAGTAATATTATTATTATAATGCAGGGCCCATACTGCATATATAATGTGATGATTTAAACTTACAATTTTCTATATCCCATAAGTATGTACAAAGACCATACATTGGTAGTATTGTTGATGTGACAGGTACTGTTGATGTGACACGTACTGTTGTGTTGATGTGACACGTATTGTCTGAGTTTGTTCATTATTTATTGAAAGTTTCTTCAATTCATTTCTACCAGAGGAAAATCAAATAATAGTATAATTGCTATCAGAGCATAGTACTTTGCAACATATATGTATTTGGTTTTAGTAAGCTGAGAGATAGGTGAATACGATCACATGTTTTTTGTGTTAGTATTTGTTTAGAAGATTAAGTTATGAAAGTTCTTATCAACAAACTATGATTTGCATAATAATTCAGGAATTCATTGCATTTCCAACAATATCTTAAGTACTAATCATGACACTTCAACAAAACTTGGTACATACATGTACATTACGCAGAACTGATTAGTTTTATATTAAAATATGCACATATTAATTACCTTATTTGCAAAATAAATAGTCAGTTTTTAGCTTTTCATTAAGTACTAATCATCTGATTTTAATGAATCAAGACAATGCGACACTCTAGTTTTGGGTTTAAAAACATCAATAATACCGGTAATTATCTAATATACCGTACTTCTCCACCAATTAATCATAATTTCATTAAAACTTGGTACATAGATCTGGGAACAGGATTAGTCAATGTTGAAAACTGCATATTGATTATCTAATTATTTTCAGCCAATTTCAGATATCTGATTTAAATTAAACTTATGGTAGAGATGCTTTTGAATTTCTGTCAGTGTAATATAAACTTCAGCACTGTGTATCACAATGTTTTTCAGTATGCATCTCAAATAGCAAACTAATAAAAGTCTCCAAGCCTTTCTTGTTAATTGTTAATGTGCCTTCTTCTCAGCACACAGGATTTTTTTCTAGAATTATGCCTCTAATGCATCTTGCATTTGAATAAAGAATGCACTGGTACATACATTGTTATTATTAAGATTATAAGTAGTTTACTTTTTTTTATAAGTAAAATCTTATTAAACTGAACCACATGTTCTTCCCCACAGAGTGATTGTATAAACTGAACACCTAAAACTGAATAATTTGGTGTCCAATTGGTGTTTGGTTTACACAGATTTCAGACCTCTGTAAACTGAACAATTTTCCCAGCACATTAAATGTTCACTTTAGACATTTTTCACTATTATATTATCAAATAAATCGTATGATTGTCATTGTTAGGAACGTGAGCAAGAAAGATTGGCATCGGGTGGAGGTGAGATGTTTTTTATGAGAACACCAGAAGACTTGACTGGATCTGATGGTGATTTGATACTTGCTGAATATAGTGAAGAATATCCACCACATATTATGAATGTCGGAATGGCTACAAAGATAAAAAATTACTACAAACGAGTGAGTTATTTTATCCTAATGGAAAGAACTGAATTTCTCATGCACTTGTCACCTGTAATCCTGAAAGTGGGAATTCTACTTCCTGAAAAAATACAATTACAGCATTGAGCAAGTCTCAGAAGTATTGGGGCAGCAAATTTGTAAACTCGAATCTCGCTGGTGCCGACTCGTGGTCGCTTCCACTCTGGTCGAGTCTATATTGCATTAGAGAACATAGAATGCGTTTACATAGCCTGGTACATGTTTGGATTTCCCTGAATGATTTGCTTTGCAAGGCGTGATAATGTGAAAGTAGTTTCCCTGGTCAGCCTGAGAATGGCCACAGTCAGCTGGTGTACAAATGATTTTATGATAAATGTGATTAATCCACTGATATTTACTATATGGGGTAGCCATTTTGAACACTGATTGAAACTAAATAAAGAGAAAAGTTGAGAAAGTTTCCTACAAATCAAGGAGAAAATAAATGTTGACATCCAAACGATTCGTTGGGGTAATATTAAACCAACTGCTAATACAATTCAACTTCATTCATCGTTTTTGCATGGACAATCGATCCTAATTAATCAATTACACTAAGAAAATAGAACACTTTCCCTGGTATATTTGGAAGCGAAAACACCATTCAACTCAAATATGACGGCCCCTACTGTTATATAGATTCACCCAGAGTGGGCGTGACCACAGGACTGCGCCAGCGAGATTCAAAAGCCAACCGTTCAGTCAAAACCATAACAGTTATCCAACTCGCTAGCAAGTTTGCAAATTGGCTGCCCAAATACTTCAGAGACCTGCTGTAATATTTACACATCTCTTGTCTTTATTGAGAAATCTAAATAACCTAGTTATTATACTCTATTAGTAGCGCATACACTTAATACAATTTTTAGTTTATGCATGAGTAAAACAACTATAGATATATTATTTAGAATCATTTTTTTTTTTTTTTTTTGATTTATGGATTCTGAATTGTGGTGATCTATTCAGAATGAACAACACATATACCATATTTCCTCTATTTGAAAGCACATCTCATTTTAAAAAACGTGTCGCATTGTGTGGTTTCAGATTCATTTTTATCACATCATTTATTTAATGTCTATCTGCTTCTAATAGAGCAAGTACATTGTACTGTAATACCATTTACATTGCATTGTCACACCTGGTAGAACCCACTGTCCTTCCAGAGGTGAAACAAAGTATGACCTGTCAATCACCTTTATGACAGTTATCACAATACACACCATTTCTTCCCATGATTCCATGCACACTTCCATTTGCAGGGTTTGAGGTAATATGACAAAACATAAAATGAAGGATGCTGACATGCATTATAGTACACTTTTTCACTGTGTTTCAAATTTGCCAATGATATCAATTGTTATTTTACATGTTCGTGTGGATTTAATTTAGCAAATTTAACCAAATTAATGCATTTAATACAGTATTCTTTGTTCATAATATTAACAGGAATCTTGGATTTATTTATGATATTAATATTCTTTATTTTCAGAAACCTGGTATAGACAGTAAACCACCTGACTATAAATACGGAGAGACTGTATACGCCCACTCATCACCGTTCCTCGGTTCGCTACAGCCAGGACAGTCGCTACAAGCATTTGAAAATAATTTATTTCGCAGTCCTATCTATAGACATCGTTTACCTCTCACAGATTTTCTGATTATTAAAACCAGACAAGGGTGAGAATTTCTAGGTTATCATCTGTGTTTTCTGGGGATGCACTGGCAATGAACTTGTAAACATCGTCTAGATTGCTTTGGACAAAATTTAATTTCTATTTACATGTCTACATTCCATGTGACTTGACATTGAACCCTGTGTTGTATACTACAAAATTATGTCCAACTAGATAACAAATCAGTATAAAATAATTGACATATAGACACTTCAAATATTTTGGAGCATGTCGGAAGGTAGCATTGAAATGATGGTGGTTTTTTATCTACTTATATTTTTGGTTCTATGCAAAATTCACATCACAAAGAGATGTGTCCTCTGATTGGGTGGTACATAAGGAAGAAACACATTCAATTGTGCTTTCTAACGCTCAATTCCACTATTTTTTTGTAGCTATTATATTCGTGAAATTGAAGATATATACACAGTGGGGCAGCTATGTCCATTAATGGAGGTACCCGGTCCGAATTCCAAGAAAGCTAACAACCACATCAGGGATTTTCTACAGGTTTGTAATGTTTATTCGTTGCTATTGATCAAAACACAAGGTTATATTAAATTACTGACTACCTCTTTCTGTATTCCAGGTGTTTATTTATCGGTTATTTTGGAAGAGTAAAGATAAACCAAGAAGGATTAAAATGGAGGACATTAAAAGAGCATTCCCGACTCATTCTGAAAGTAGTATTAGAAAACGTTTAAAATTATGTGCTGATTTCAAGAGAACTGGTAAGTGTACTTTGCTTTAATAATGATACTTTGATGTGTTCACCTAGACATGCACAAAACAAAATATAGAATAAAAGACGATGACAAGAAAAATTGAACACAAGTCATCTATATTTGGTGTTCTTTACCTACTCTCTATTCTATATTTCACTCTAGGTATGGATTCCAATTGGTGGGTGTTAAAACCTGATTTTAGATTGCCAACAGAGGAAGAGATTCGCGCTATGGTGTCTCCAGAACAATGTTGTGCATATGCCAGTATGTTAGCTGCTGAGCAGAGACTGAAGGTTTGTAACCCTCTTTGTGATTGGTTGAGTAGAAACCATTTGGTCAGTTTCATTGTTACCAACCAATCAGTAATGTTCTTACTTATTTAAGTTAAATTTACGTCCTCTGATCTGTTTGATTGTTTATAGGATGCTGGATATGGTGAGAAATCGTTTCTAGCTCCAGATGATGATAATGAAGATAATGATGTCCGTATTGATGATGAGGTAAGTAAAAAAAGATGTATAAGGTTATAGACAGACAGTACACTGCCGCATCGATCTCCGCTACGCGTCGGTCGATACTGCTGCTGTACTGTCTTCGCGTATACTTTGAGGTATCTTCGTAATATCCTTATAGTATAGGAGTATTAGCTTTCAATATATAAACAAAATATTGTAACATTAGTTTGATAACTTTGCTGAAATCTGCTGCATGTATATCATTAAAGTCTGTATATTTGTAATATTTTTGACTCCTGTGTGTGAAGCACAAAAGGGAGTCTTTGCAGCTACCCTGTCTGTATGTATGTATGTATGTATGTATGGCACTTTTTTTGTTCCACCGTTATCTCAAGAACCACTAATTAAATTTTGATGAAACTTTGTACATATATGCTCTGGGCCAATGCGCAGATTTGATCAGGTTTTGGTAAAAATCTATGCATATTAATTACCTAATTTGCATGATAATTAGCTAATTTTTAGCTGTTTCATGACTGTTCCACTGATATCTAAAGAACCAGTCATTGGATTTTGATGGAACTTGGCACACAGGTGCTTTGAACTAATGCGCAGATTTAATGAGTTTTAGGTAAAAATCTGTGCATATTAATTAGCTAATTTGCATAATAATATGTCAATTTTCAGCTTTTCCACTGATATCTCAACTACTAATCATCACATGTCAATGAAACTTGGGACATAGATTCTGTAGGACTATGCAGAGACCTGAATAAGTTTTGGGGTAAATAATTATCTAATTTGCATAACTAACCAATGTTCAACTTTACTGATATCTCAAATACTAATCATCACATCTCAATAACATTTGGTACATAAATGCTCTAAGACAATAGACAGACCTGATTAATTTGGGGTTAAAATCTGTGCATATTAATTACCTAATTTGCATAATTAAATCAATTTTAAGCTTTTACACTGATATCTACAGTACTAATTATTCAATTTCAATGAAACTTGGTACATAGATGCTCTAGGTCAATATGCAAACCTGGTTAGTTTTGGATTAAAATCTATTAGCATAATAATTTATAATTTTTTGGTTCTAATCACATTTCATTGAAAATTGTCTCTTGTCTCCAATACTCTCAGTACACGGGAGTTCTTTCTAAGCTTTCTTTGATTATTTTTTTGTGGCAAGATATTCAAAGCGCGTTGGGAAAGTAATTTCTCAATTGATTTTACCCCTCCAACAACAGTTTGGAAAACAATTGTAACCTGTTTCTAAACAAAATTTTACCAATTTCAGGTTCGGGCAGCCCCATGGAATACAACCAGGGCATTTATCTCTGCAATGAAAGGAAAATGTTTACTAGCAATAACCGATCCCACGGCCGATCCTACTGGGTCAGGCGAAGGATTCTCATACATCAAAATACCGAATAAACCGCAACAACAGAAAGTAAGTATTGTCTATATGCAAGTAGATTTTTGTCATCAAAGTCCACTTTGTTTTTTACTAATATTGTTTTCGATTTCTTAATGTTATACCAAGCGAAAACTATTTTTGTATTACCAAATGAATATAAAATGTTTGCTCTGTCACATGTGAACATTGTATCAATAGTCAAACAAAGGCATATTTTAATTGTTTATATGCACTTCTAATGGAGTAGATAATATGTTATTTGTATTTGTA